TTTTGTAGGTACAATTTTTGAATTGTATTATTGCGTTTAAAAAGTTTGTATATTTTGTATATGTCGCGTTCCTTTTTGTTTTGAATTATTTATTAAACTTTTTAGTAATTGTTTATTGCATTATATTGTCTGCTTTTATATTATTCCAAGGATGATTCCAACCAGAACTTCTGTACCATCCGAATACCTTGAAACTACTACAATTAATGTTCGCATTCTACCCTAAATCTTGATAACACAATGAACAGGAAAATTGAACCACATACATGTTTGTATGTATACTGAGAGAATGCAGCTAAGGTGGTTAAAATCTATGAAAAGGGAAACTCATGGACGGTTTAAGTAAAATTCGAGTATAAATACGTTTTAACAATACTCAATAAAAAAATTTACTTAATGCATATTATTGTATTTATTTATAATATATAGCATTATTATTTTAAATAGAAAGTGATTAAATAATTAAATTATATTTTAATTGTATTTGTATATACAGCTTAAAGCTATATCATTTTAAACAAAAAATAATTTTATTCTTTTTAATTACATGTACCTTATATATATGTCAGGTAACTAAAAGCTATATTCAAAAAAATTTTATTTATTTGGCAGCACACGAGTTCAATTCAATCTCAAAAAATTACTTACAAATAATTAAATACAAGAATTATTTCAAGACCATTGATAATGGGTCAGCCAAAAATTCGATTAATTAAAATAATATAAAATGAATTTTTGTTGTTGTAGTTCACAACTTTTCGAAAACCCTCATTATTTATTTACATATAAAAGCTCATAAAAGCTATAAGAACAAAATAGGTTATATAAAATCCAATTAAATCAAATTGAAACATTGTGTTTCTGCATAAAACAAAGAGTAAAAAATCATCTGGAACCTTCTATGTAGCTTAAAATATTCTCTAATCAAATATCAAATAAAATCTTCAGAACCTAAACTATTTTCCAAGTACGCAGTAACCCGTCAGCACCGATATTGCTGATGAGGTTAAGCCTTAATTAAAGAAGCTGACTGACACATTTCCAGTTTCAGGTTTAGTAGACCAGTTTGGAATAGGTTTACCTGGAGAACTGACAAAAGGATTTATCTACACAATTTTGTTACATTATACTCCGATATTTTTATTTGTTTACCAGTCGAGAAAAAATGCTAGGACACAGTATGTTTGGAACGCATGTTTAATATGCTATAAATGATATAAATATAGTAAATTTAAACTTTTTCATATCTTTTATTAGATTTATATGGCCATCATTTGAGTATTTCTTAATGAAGTTCTTCAATTTTTTTTTCAAAAGTTTATTAAAATAATATATAACGAAACTGTGGCGATAAAAATTTAAGCAAATGCATTGCAAAATGATTAATTTCAGTTTTTGATTGCAGTAACGTCTACAATTTGGGCCTGACGGAAGTGACAGAATATTTTTATTTTATATGATATTACTTATTTACTTAATTGATAATTACTTAATTGAGTATATTTACTGGAAAAAAATATATGTATATATATAAATTGATTAAATATATATTCTTACTTTAATTTTTTATAATTTTATGTATTAAATAAATCACCTAAGCCCGGTAATAATCAAAAAACTTAATGTAAATAGGTCGTAATAACAATTAATTAATAATTTTTATTTTATAATATGAAAAATGTTATTGATATTTAATAATTATAGATTTATTTTTAAATATACATATATATTATAATACATATCCATTAAACATTCGAATATTTTTCATTTTCATAAAATATATATATAACAGTAACATATATATATATCTATATGTCATTCATCATATTTTATAATTTAATATATATAGTACAGAGACGTTGTCGCCTATCTGTCTTATAGTGTTGAATTTGTACACAGATCCCAACAAACGAGACAAAACTAAATCACACCTTATCGGCTTAGTTTATTTCAATTTATATTAATACACGTATTGTAATATATAATAAAATATATGTATATTGTATTTCATTAAAATTATTTAAATTATGTAATTATTTTGTTAATTAAAACCATAAATAATTTTTGACTAGCACGAAATTGATTTTTTAATGAATATGACGTATTCACAGATGTACATACATATATTGATTTTCCACTGTAGAAACCGGTTTTGTTAACATTCAAAACAAGAAACTTATTACAAAACGCTCCTGTCATTTATCCAGAATTTATTTAGACTTATGCGTATACACACTCGCTATTTTATTTACTATATCCTTGCATGGAGAAATTATACACCATCCCTAAAAGAAAGAGAAATTATCATATTTAGTTCAACATTCATATGTTGTGTGTTTGTAATTGGTACACTGAAAAGAATTTTTTAATTTTTCGTTAATACAATTAAATCGATAAATTTTATACGGCTAGTGCATTTACATTTTTGACATGCATTTAATCCTATATTAATCCAAACATAGTTTTTAAATAATTAAATTTTCTATATTCCCACACTATTCAGGTCAAATTTTTCTTATAATCGGTATAAAACTACTTAGGTTTTGGTAAACGGCATTTGGTCTTCGATGATGTTTGCATTTACTCATAAATTAAATGCATTTTAAAAATTTATGGTCAGCTATGATGTACTTTTGAAATTTAACTTATTTCTTCACACACGTAATGGTCCTTTATCTATATTTAAAATATTTTTTTTCTTTCAAATTAAAAGTTTTCTTTATATCAAGAAAATAGTTTCTATTTTTTCTTTGCAAGAAATATGTATTTTAAATATTTATTACTTTGTAAATGATTCACAAAACTTTGAACTGGAATAGAATGCTGTATTACACATAATTTTAAAAACAAATATATATATATATGTATATTGTATAAAAAAGAATAAACACAAAACAAGGTAAAGCTTAATTACAATTTTTACATTATCTTATATCATTTCGTATTAAACGTTGATATAGCTGATGATGTTTCATCTGTTGGAACGTTTTTTTGTTTCTTATTTGCAATTTTTGAGGTATTTGTATTTGCTTGCGTATTGGATACAGTATCGGCACTATTGCCAGCCATAATAAGAAAACTTTTTTGAAGATTATTTGGAATTTTACGAGTATTGCTTCCATTATTTGTGGTTGTCATCAATCCAGACATATATGAAGCAGCATTATTATGTGGTCCAAAATCGTCCTCTTCATTTAAGTAAATATCCATATGATCAACTGTATTGGAATTCGCAAAATTATTATCACGACGTTCACTTTTTTTCCAAAGGTAGTAAAATTGTACCAGTTCTCTCATTGTACGTGTTCGTACCTAAGAGTAAAAATTCTTAAAAATGTTGATTCATATAAAATTTAATGTATTACCTGATTTTGTCGTATTTTCAGAAAATCTTTTCCATACTTCTGTATACCTTCCTCAAATTTTTGGCATTCTTCTTCTGACCATAAACTCATTGAGCCAGTTAATGGAACAACATTTAATCTTTTACGCCTTAAAGCTTCATTGAAATCATAACCACATTGCACCAATAAATGTAAAGCTTGTTCATTATCTTTCACTATTCCGTTAGAATCGTTGTCTAAAGATGTAGGAGCTATTGGCTTGTTTTCATTCGATTTTTGTGGTATATTTTCTTTGCCATTTGGCATAGTATTTATAGTATTTGTTAAAATTTTTAAATCGCGTGCACTATCTTCATCAGTAGGCTTTGATTTTAATTGATCATCGCTCAACATAGGTTTTATATCACGCACTTTTAACAAATATTCTTCCACTTCCTGTTCGCTGACTTGACTTGGTTCCCATATGAGCTTATCCTCATTTTCATAAGGTAAAATATCACCATATTGTGATAGACCAAACGGAATGACAGCCTGATAAGCATTGCCCACCATTATAGTTTTTTTAACAGTTTCTTCGTCTTCATCATCATAATCGTCATCATAGTCATCATCAAAGTAAATTGTTTTTACCTCTGTAAATAAGTATAAAAGTAACAATTAACAATTTCTTAAAACTGTTTTAGTCTTCACCTCTTTCTCGTTCCTCATCAGCAACTGGTGTAAAAGATTGTTCAGGATATAAATCTAATAGATGAGAGCGCTTCAATAACTTCTTTTCGACTCCGTTTTCATAAATGTGGGAAGTTGTTTGATTATTAACATCATCTTCAATTGATTCATTCAAAATATCGTTGCTTGCACTTTCATCTTCATCATTCATTTCGTTTATTAAATTATTTGATTCCTTCTCTTTTCCACTAATTTTATCATTACTAGCATCCTTCTTAGCTGATGCAATATTTTTAATTTTAACGCGCTTGTTAGTTTTTTTTGGTTTTTTGCGTGGCAATTCAACAGGTTCAATCATTGCTTGATATTTAGCCAATAACTCTTCTAGTGGAATTTCACTTTCTTCTTTTAGCGTGTCAATTTCTTCCTGCGGATCTTGTGACTCTAATGCAGCTAAAGCCTCTTCTTCATTCAAAGTCTGTTCATCATCAAAATCATTTACCATCATATCAATTGTAGGTTCGAATGTTGCATCACTGCCAATGTTTTGGGATACTGATGATGATGGCGACAATGGATCCTCGAAGGCAGACGAGATGTATGACCTTGGTGATTGTACACGTTTCTCGCGCGTCTGATTTTGACCACCTTGTAACACCTTTTCAGAGGATGAAGAACTCAATTTCGGATTCTTTGGCACTTCAGAATCCACATCTTGTTTACTAGTTAAAGCGTATTCTGTGCTTGCCACATGAATTCCTTCTGAAATTTGTCGAAATAAATAATTTTGACATAAAAATTTATAATAACTTTTTTAAAATTAATCACCGTCATAATTTGTTTTTTGAACAACACTTTTTTCCGATTTTGCTTCTTCTGGCGGCATCATAACAACAATATTAAAAAGACCTTATCCGCAACGAATCTAAACACAAAACGACGAATGCCAAACAATAAACTGTGAAATAAAGTGAAAGACACATAGAGTGTTGCAAATAACACGCACATCTAGTTATTGATGGTTGCGTTCTTGCGAATGGTTTTACACAATGCTGATATTTAAATAATTTATATACATATATATATATATATATTATTGTAAACTACTATTATTATGTATATAATGAATACAAAATAGTTTACAGTTATTTTTGAAAATTAAATATAATATTTTATTATATTAAATATTGTTATAAAAAATTATACTTGATCTATAAGCTCTTTTCAATGTTAATCCCACTATATCCCAATATGATTCTTTTTCAATGGACAATGAATTTTCATCAAGAAAACTGTTTTGAGGAACTTTTTTCACTGCGCCATATATATATGTATAGCTTAAACTATGTTTAGGCTATCATACTTAATTCATTTTTAGTTTTATCTAAAAATCCATTAACATCGACTGCAAAACCAGATCGATTCGGCAAGAAGACAATGCTGCGTGTTTGGTGGGACCAGAAAGGTGTGGTGTACCACGAGCTCCTAAAACCTGGTGAAACCGTCAATGATGATCGCTATAAACAACAAATGATAAATTTGACGAACAATTTTTTTGGCGTGGTATCCACAAATTGCCAGAAAGTTGGTCAAAATGTGTAGAAAGCAATGGCCAATATTTTGAATAAAATGTTTTTTACTTTCCTATTAATAATTAGTGTTTTATTTTCACCAAAAAAACGCTCATTTCATAGGTATATAGATTTATGAATAAATTTAGTTTTTATAGGAATTGCAATATATACGAAGGAGGTCATTCCTTAGTAAATTGCACATATTAAAAAAAAAATTCGACAAACTCTTTAAGCATAAGAAGCTAAATTTTCGAAAAATAACTCTCCGAAAACTTATCTTGTTTTTCAAAAAAAATAATAATAATTTGGTTTTAAAAGAAAAGAATATGATGTGATAAACAGTGATGAAATGATAGATTTTCTAATTTAAAGATTGCTATAATTTCGAAAAATCAATTTCAGATAATTGTATTCAAACTTTCCTTAACATGATAAAACCAAGAAGCTTGTATACTATTGCAGTAGTATATATATATATACCAAAAATATCTGTTAAATAAAAAAAATCATATATTTAATATATATATTGAAATATTAAGTTTTATTAATTAAACATAATAGAATAAGTAAATTATAATTATTAATAACATGAATTAACAAATTCGAATAGTATTTTTTCCCATAACAACAATCGTGCCTTCATCTTGAATTTCCTTCAAAGCATCTTCAAATTGTTCACGAG